AAATGGGATATAATAGGGTCATTTTGAGCTTAAAAGTAACTTGAGTTGGCTTAAATTTTAAAAAAATAATGTCACAAACCTGTCAGCTCACAGAAGGCAAAGCTAAACTAATCTTTATTCACTCCAATGTCTGTACTTATTTCTTGCACTGATGGGGGCAGTTTCTTTTGCAGCAGAAAGCCAGGAAGCATTTCTCTATTCATGAAGCCTTTTTTTCTTTAAATTTATTATTTTTTCTTTTATTTTTGAGATTACAATAAGATTATATCGTTTCACTTTCCTCCATCCAAACACTCCTGTGTACCTCTCTTAGATCTCTTTCATCAATTGTTGTTATATGCATATATGTATAATACTAATATAATCTGCTGTTTAATGTTATTTGTTTTTGTTTCCAGGGCTGACCATTTGGTATTTGATAACCAATTCGTACGTTCTTCCCTTGGAAAGACTGTCTGTCCAGCTCTGAGCATTCCTTAGTTGCCTGTAGTTCTTTATCTAGGGTTGAGATCTCATGATCTTTCTGCCTTCTGCTTTGGCATATCTATTATTATTTGTTCAGCTAATGTTTGGTAAGTCAGGTTGGTGAGACTTTATGGGTGTATCTCCTGATATTACTAGGAGACTGTGTTTCCTAGTAATGTCACAGCAAACTCCCTTATTTTCTGACTCTTACAGTCTTTCCACCCCTTCATCCACAATGTTCCCTGAGCCTTACATGTAGAAGTTGTTACATACATACATACATACATACACACACACACACACACACACACACATTGGAACTGGACTCTGCAACTCTGCGTTTTGATTGTTGGTGGGGATTTTTAGTAGTTTCCATCTGTTATAGAGAGAAGTTTCTTTGATGAAGGTTGAGGACTAAACTCACCTATGAGTATTAGGACAAATGTTTAGAATGCAGTTAGGTATTGTGCTGGTTTAGTAAAATGATGGTTGTCTCTTGTCCCCCAAATCCATAATTTCTTTAGCCCTTGGAAGTTGGCTAGATTCCTAGTACAAGACCTGATTTTCTTCTTGTAGAATGAGTCTTAAGTCTGATTAGAGAGCTATTAGTTACATAAAGCTGTGTGTGCCACTATTTCATCCTTAGGTTTATTGTGCCATGCTGGTCATTGTTGTGACTCATGGGTATCATATCTGGGTAGGACTGTCGGTTGATTCCCATTCTTGAAAGCTTTCATGATATCTTCTGGTGTCGTGAAAGTAGTCCTTAAAGAGGAAACATTTAAGTTAGTTCCAGCTCAGTGACCTCTGGGCCCTGTTTCTGAAGTATATAGTGTCTGCAGCAATAGGAACTTACTTTCCACCTCTTGGGGGACAACCAAGGGCAATAGCTATATCTGTAATATTTTGGGATTCTCTTGGACAACCCTGACCAGCAAGTGAAAAAAGGACTTCTCATGCCGGGTGTTGAGAGTTTTGTTAAGTGGTCTTTGGCTCTTGGGGGAAGCATTGCCAGCTCAGGTAAGAAATTTTCATTTAAATCTTATCTATATTTATACATAGATTTATATGAATTATAGGTGTTTTCTGTTTTTAGTTTGGGGGTGTTGTTTTTTAAGATAGTGAATAATATGATTTCTTACAACTTTTTCAAGATATCATTACTATTTTACTTTCCTCTCTCCTTTGTCTGTATTGATTTCCCTCTCCTAAACATAACAAAGGCAATATTCAGCAAGCCAACAGTTGACATCAATCTAAGTGGAGAGAAACTCCCAGCGATTCCACTGAAATCAGGAACAAGACAGGTTGTCCACTCTCTCTATACGTATTTAATATAGTTCTTGAGGTTCTACCTAGAGCAATAAGACATAAAGAGGAGATCAAGGGGATACAAATCGGAAAAGAAGAAGTCAAATTCTCAGTTTGCTGATAATATGATAGTTTACATAAGTGATCCCAACAATTCTAACAAGGAACTTTTACAACTCATAAACACTTTCAGTAATGTAGCAGGATACAAGATTAACTCAAAAAAATCAGTAACCCTTATGTACACAGATAATAAAAGGACTGGGGAAGAAATCAGAGAATCAACACCCTTCACAATAATCCCAAATAGCAAAAAATATCTCTGAGTAAGTCTAACCAAACAAGTGGAAGACTTGTATGTCAAAAACTTTAAATCTTTGAAGAAAGAAATTGAAGAAGACACCAGAAAGTGGAAAGATTTCCCATGCTCTTGGGTAGACAGAATTAACATAGTAAAAATGGCAGTCTTACCAAAAGGAATCTACAGATTCAACGCAATGCCCATCAAAATCCCAGGGAAATTCTTCAAAGACCTCAAAAGAACAGTACTCAACTTCATTTGGAAAAACAAAAAACCCAGAATAGCCAAAAACAATCGTGTACAATAACAGAACTTCTGGAGGCATCATAATTCCTGACTTCAAACTCTACTACAGAGCTACAGTACTGAAAACAGCCTGGTATTGGCATAAGAACAGACAGGAGGACCAATGGAACTGAATAGAAGACCCAGATATCAATCCACACATCTTCGAACACCTAATTTTTGACAATATAGCCAAAACTATCCTATGGAAAAAAAAGAAAGCATATTTAACAAGTGGTGCTGGCATAACTGGATATCAACATATAGAAGAATGAAAATAGACCCGTATCTATCACCATGCATAAAACTCAAGTCCAAGTGGTTCAAAGACCTTGACATAAAGCCAGCTACAATGAACCTTATTGAAGAGAAAGTGGGAAGTACACTTAAACGCATTGGCACTGGAGACCACTTCCTAATATAACTCCAGCAGCACAGACACTGAGAGAAACAATTAAGGAATGGGACCTCCTGAGACTGAAAAGCTTCTGTAAATCAAAGGACATGGTCAACAAGACAAAACGAAAGCCTACAGAATGGGAAAAGATCTTCACTAACCCTACATCAGACAGAGGTCCGATCTCCAAATTATACAAAGAACTCAAGAAACTGGTCACCAAAAGAACACATAATCCTATAAAAAGAAAAAAATGAAGTACAGACCTAAACAGAGAACTCTCAACAGAGGAATCTAAAATGGCTGAAAGACACTTAAGTAAATGTTAAACATCCGTAATCATCAGAGAAATGCAAATCAAAACAACTCTGAGATTCCATCTTACACCTGTAAGAATGGCCAAGATCAAAAACACTGATGACAACTTATACTGAAGAGGTTGTGGGGAAAAAGGAACACTCCTGCATTGCTGGTGGGAATGCAAACTGGTACAACCCCTCTGGATGTCAGTGTGGTGATTTCTCAGAAAATTAGGAAACAACCTTCCTCAAGACCCAGTAATACCACTTTTGGGTATATATCCAAAGGATGCTCAATCATGCCACAAGGACATGTACTCAACTATGCTCATAGCAGCTTTGTTTGTCATAGCTAGAACCTGGAAACAACCTAAATGCCCCTTGACCGAAGAATGGATAAGGAAAATGTGGTACATTTACACAATGGAATACTAAACAGCAGAAAAAAATGACATCTTGTATTTTGCAGGAAAATGGATGGAGCTAGAAAACATTATTTTGAGTAAGGTAACCCAGACACAGAAAGACAATTATCACATGTACTCACTCATAGATTGTTTTTAAACATAAAGCAAAGAAAACCAGCCTATAAACCACAATCCCAGAGAACTTAGACAACAATGAGGACACTAAGAGAGACTTACATAGATCTAATCTACATGGGAAGTAGAAAGTAGAGAAAGACAAGATCTCCTGAGTAAGTTGGGAGCATGAGGACCTTGGGGGAGGGTTGAAGTGGGGAGGAGAGAGGCAGGGAGGGGAGCAGAGAAAAATGTAGAGCTCAATAAAAATCAATAAAAACAAAAACATGTGGGATATAAAATTGTAGCCATTTTGGCAACAGACAATGGGCCACACATGTTATTACTTATAACATTATAATATAATTATACACACATGTATATATGTGTATATATGTATATATATATCATGAATAAAGTCAGTGAAGAAAAAAATTAAACACCTCATGCTAATGAAGGGTTTTCCCTTTTACCATTTTTTTTTAATGTGCTTTGGTGTTTTGCCTGCACCGGTATATCAGGTATCCTGGAACTGGAGTTACACAGTTATAAGCTGCCATGTGGGTGCTAGGAATTTAACCCTGTTCCTCTGGAAGAACAACCAGTGTTCTTAATCATAGAGCCAACTCTCCAGTCTCCTTTTCCTATATAAACTCCCATTTGATGCCCAACATCTGTCTCCTCTATAGTCAGAGGCAGTCCTTTGTATCCCTGGGACAAATACCCCTTCCACCTATCCCTTGTTCCTTTATCCCTCTCCCTCAGCCTCTCTCTCCTGTGTTGGTTTCTTATTTCCTGCCCATTGTCCTTCTGTGTGAAATAAATCTCCTTTGTGCTAAGAACTTCACCTTGGAGTATCTTGAACTGATACTGCTCCCAACAACTCAGACCAAGGGAAAAACCAAATACTTCTGTTCAGTATTAAGGAATGTTTATGATTGAAAGTAAAACAGAGAGTAAGAGATTCCTGTGGAAATAGCAGCTTATGGTGTACAATGAAATTAAAGGACTCTGGAGTACTTGGCAACAGAAACATAAAAGATTGTGTATGAGTTATAGCAAAAGTTTAATTTAAATCATATGAATAATCTTGTTTTGCTACTTGAATAATTAAGATTTAAGAAGAATCAATGTTTTAGGGGAAAAAAAAGCAATTATTAGGGCTGAAGCAGAATGGCACTATGCCACCATCTCTAACTCCAGTTCCAGAGGATTCAGTGACTTATGGCCCCTGTGGGCAATGGGAATGCACACATGCATATATGTTGGCAAAACACTCATTTATATAAATAAAATATACTTTTTAAAAAAAGAAGAGAAAAGGTCTTCTTTTAAAAATATCTAGTGCATGTGTTTCAATATATTGATTATTCTATTTTCAGAATTGATTTGTATCAGAGGAGTAATTGTGGGACAGACATTCATCGAAACTTCTGAACTCTAAGGATGACTGGGGTGTACATCCATAACAGGACTGTAGTGGATGAGATGACAAAGTCCACCCAGTACATGACCATAAATAAAGCCACCAGCAGCAAGATGGTCTCGCTGGCCCTTTGCTCAGGAGATGCTCTCCGGTGGTGGAGGCTGTGAAGATGCTCACATTGCCTCTGATGTATGAATAAGATAATTACCATGTATGCACTTGTGGTCACCATCACTCCTACGAGAAATACATCTCTAGACATTGTCATTGTTAAAATCAATCCTCTGATGACGTAGTTCATGGGGAAGAGTGAGCAGGATTTAGTGACCTTCATCTGTTTGGTTTCACTCATGTCGGTAAAAGCACCAGCATAGAAGATACAGCTACTGCTGAATGATAAATTGAGAGACCAAATATAGAAGGAAGCGTTGGTCATATTTTTTTTTATTTTATGTTTAAATTTTGCCAACCAAGAGGTACTGGGACTGATAGTGACAACTTGGAACACACTCAGGAGGCAGATGATGCAGATGGAGAGGACTCTCATCACTCTGTTTATGTAAAAAGTTGTTTTACATTTGAAGTCATTTTTAATGTTCAGTGACTTAAAAATGTGGGTAAGCCAGATATCCCCTCCAGTGATGATCAGCAGTGTGTGAATGAAGGCCAGTTGACAGATCATGTCCATGGGCTTACTTCTGTGACCTAGGATTATGAAAGTGTAGAAAACAAGGAGAAACATATTGGCCAGGACTCCAAGTCCAGCTTGGAAATTAAGGACATTCTTTAATGAGGACATACATGGAACATGTATTCATTGTAACATTGTAGTAGAAACTCATTTCATACATCTGAAAAATAATAGAGTATACATCAGACTTGTGATTCACTCGTCAGTGTGTCTGTATTATCATTCTGTTTTATCAGGACCACGAGGGTTGCACCCACATACTGAGACAATGGGGATGTTCTATCGGGAACTCACCAAGGCCAGCTAGCCTGGGTCTGAAAAAGCATGGGATAAAACCGGACTCGCTGAACATAGCGGACAATGAGGACTACTGAGAACTCAAGAACAATGGCAATGGGTTTTTGATCCTACTGCACGTACTGGCTTTGTGGGAGCCTAGGCAGTTTGGATGCTCACCTTACTAGACCTAGATGGAGGTGGGTGGTCCTTGGACTTCCCACAGGGCAGGGAACCCTGATTGCTCTTTGGGCTGACGAGGGAGGGGGACTTGGTTGGGGGAGGGGGAGGGAAATGGGAGGCGGTGGCGGGGAAGAGACAGAAATCTTTAATAAATAAATAAATTAAAAAAAGACTATACATGTGTAATAGCACAAATTTTCTTTAAATCATTAAGAATCTAGATTTATTACTTGAACTATTAAACAACTTAAGAAAAATCTGTGTTTTGGAAAAAATAATTGCAACTGCACCAGAATGATGCCTTACAGCCATCTGTAAGTCCAGTTGAAGGGGGGCGGGCAATAGCCTCTTCTGACCTCTGTGTGGGTACCAGGAATTCACACATACATACATGTTGATGCAATACTCATACAAATATATAAAAGTAAATTAACCATTTTACTATTTATTTATTTATTTATTTATTTATTTGCCGTTTCATCAGCACTTTATTGGGACACAACAACACAAACCATGTATCATGCAGGTAAGTTTGACATGACAGAGTTAAACGGTTCCCGAACACCACGTGCCAGACAAAGCTTATAATATTTATCATGTAGTGCTATTTATTTATGATGCAGTGTGCCTGCTCCTCACTCAGAAGTCTGGAGGACAAGAGTATTGGGCTTCTATTTCAGTTGCCATACCTCCCACCAAGTAGGGGTTAATTAACCCATATATGTTGAAAGAACTGGAGGGATCAGAGCTCCACCCTGCCTTTTTGGATGACTCTTTTTGGCAGGGCAGGCTAGACAGAAGCAAAGGAAGCTCAAAGATGAACATACTGGAAGAGAGGCATCAGGTCTGGAGTCTCAGGCCTAGGTTCAGCCCAAGAATCCCTTGACGCGTGCCAACCCTCAGCAGTTGGGGAAGAAGAGTGCAGGGCTGCTTAGGGCCTTACCCAACTTTCTGAAAGCCACAGCTTTGCTTGGGCCTCAGGTAACCTCCCCGCCCCACCCCATGGCCATTCTCAGGGAGAATCCCCCTCCTCTGCTTCCCTAACAAGAATGGGCTGGGCTGGATCCTGGACTGCAGCAGGTGAGAAAGAACCCAAACCCTCCCATCATTTACCAGGAAAGAGTTGGATGTGCCTGATGCCACATCACGGTTGAACTGGACAGATGAGAGTGTGCCAGCTGTGTAATCACAGACTGCGCGTGTGTGTACCTAGAGCTTCCATGTATAAGGAGGGACTCAGATACAACCAAGGTCTTTGATCCCTAATGCCATCAGACAAGGTCCTCTGCTGAAAACACACCTCTGCCTTCAATCTTGTATCAACTTTCACCTCTCAGCCCCCAAAGAGAACGCATTTGCCTCTCCCTCCCTCCCTCCTTCCCTTATACCGAAGCCCTCATCTTGGCTTCCATGGGTCCATGGCGGGCAGATTCTACTTAAAAGCTGGGTTCTTGAGTTTGCAATAGTGCCAGGATTCACAAGTTCCAAGTCCTGAAGGGCTTCTAGTAGCTGTTCCCGGGCAGCACCAATAAAGGAATTCTCCAGGAAGGTGGGCAGGCCTCCTACACCATCACGAAGGATGTACAGAGGCACCGTCACCAGGCCCAGCACCTCTAGCCCGTGGTCCTTCGCTTGAGGTGCCCTGGCTTCCACCGCCTGCAGCTGCTCCTGTGTCAGGCGCTTGGCATAGAAATGGGCCACCACGCACTGTCCGTCCACGAGGTGTGAGCTCCGATAGTCGGAGCGCTCCACGCGGAAGGCGGCCACAGTTCACGGTTCATCCCGTCCAGGCTGCTGCTCTGAGCGTCCACGAAGCTGCAGGGGAAGCCTAGGCGCCCATCGAAGCGCATCTGCATCAGCACCAAGAAGCGCAAAGGGCAAAGGGAAGCGGCCTAACAGCTTGCAAGGGTCGGGCATATAGAGCTGTGCGTGGGAGGCGTGGCGCCAGCCCTCTAATAATTTTATTAAAAAGGAGAAAATTACCATTTTAAAAAACTATGGTGACATTTTGACCTCAAGCTTTTCAGCATTTTGATTATTCTAATATCAGAACTGATTTGTACCAAAGGAGTAATTGTGGGATAGACATTCATCACAAACTTCTGAACACCCAGGGTGACTGGGTCGTACATCCACAACATGACTGCAGAGGATGAAATGATGAAGTCCACCCAGTACATGACCACAAATAAAGCCACCAGCAGCAAGATGGTCTGGGCGGCGCTTTTCTCAGGAGATGCTCTCAGGTGGCTGAGGCTGTGAAGATGCTTGCATCGCCTCTGATGTCTGAACAAGATGATCACCATGTATGCACTTGTGGTCAGCATCACTCCTACAAGAAATACATCTCTGGAGATTGTCACTGTTAAAATCAGTGCCCTGATGATGTTGTTCATGGGGAAAAGTGAGCAGAATTTAGTGACCTTCATCTGCTTAGTCTCACTCATGTTGGTAAAAGCACCAGCATAGAAGACGTGGTTGCTAACGAATGACAAGTTGAAAGACCAAATAAATAAGAAAGCATAAATCACATATTTTTTTAGTTTATATTTAAATTTTGCCAACCAAGAGGAACTGGGACTGATAGTGACAGCCTGGAACACACTCAGGAGGCAGGTGACACAGATGGAGAGGCCTCTCATCACTCTGTTTATGTAAAACGTTGTCTTACATTTTAGGTCATTCTCAATGTTCAGTGACTCAAATATGTCCCAAAGCCAAATATCCGCTCCAGCAAGGACCAGTACTATGTGGATGAAGGCCAACTGACAGGAAATCATGTCCGTGGGCTTAGGCCTATGACCTAGGATTATGAAAGTGTAGAAAAAAAGGAGAAACATATTGGCCAGGGCTCCAAGTCCAGCTTGGAAATTGAGGACATTCTTCAACGAGGACATAAGTGGAAAGTGTATTCATCTTACGTCATATTAATAGCACATTTCATATATCTGAAAATGATAGAGTATACATCAGACTTGTGATTCAATGTGTCTATATCATCACTCAATTGTTCCTACTTATTCTTGATTAACCTGTCTCTTTAACTTTTGATGTTCCAGTCTAGATATCATAGCCCACATTTCTATATACTTCTCCATGTATCTACCCGTGTATGTAGCATTCTAGAGATGATAAAGGCATTTACAGTCATATAGTATACAGAATGAACACTTTGTGGGCCTTAGAAATCCAAACCTATTGATTTGCATTTCCTCGTTTTCTAGTTAACAACTAAAACAGAAGTGATGAACACAGAACATTAGTTACATTTTTACAACTGAGTAAAACTTACTTTGATCTGGAAAATATTCACAGAAGAAATCCAAAAGCATGAGGTGAGTCAGACTCATGCTGCATAATTTTAATATGCTCTATTTAGCAAGTTTCTATGCTTTCAGTCATAATTCTAATTGAAACACAGTAATAATTTATGATAGTCCCATTATTTTAATCATTAAAATGTCCATCTTTGTTTATATTTTCCTGTTTTTTATGTTCCTTTTTCTGTGAAATTTTACATCTCCTGGATCGGGATTAAGAAATAGATAAGAGGTGGAGGCTATTATGACATTTTCACAACTTATTAATTAATTAATAGCCATTAATTATGGTTATGAATGGTCTTAAATATCTACCTATGCAGTTTGTATTCCGTCACCTTTTGAAACACTTCACTTCAGAGTAAAAGAACTAAGACCCAGCCATCAAGACAAACATTGGTTTTTCTTTTATTGAGGATGTGAAAAAATGATAAATAGTAAGATTCCCTATGAATTTTCTCTTTTTGTCTTATTACTTTTTCAGCCATCTATATTTTTATTTTACCTACCTCCTTCTTCTGTGTTTATCTCCCTCCATCTTACCTAAGATCTCTCCATTACATTTTCCCTATCAGCTCAATTGTATTCTGTTTCTCCCCTCTACGTCCTCCACCATTTGCCATACTTACTTCTGTCCTCTCCCTCTTTAAGGATCCCTCCTTTTCCATTTCCCTCCTGAGATCACCTGTAGCCTGCTATGCTCCTTTCTAATGCTCCACATACCACCCCAGTCCTTGTTTGCTCTGGACTCTGAAGTTACTACAGTCTACATACTACATCTGAAGATGTGGAGCTAGGAGTCTCCAAAAAGAGCGAACATGCTACACTAAGACAAACACTATTTTCAACACATTATGACAAACACAAACTTGCCACTGATGACCAGATAGTGATCCTGTTTTGCAATTTCTGTGTTTTTTTTTGAGATTCTTCCCATGCAGTGAAAATCAAGGGCCCCAGTGTTATCATACATCATCAACGCAAGACTGCTTTTAAAATTTCAATGAAAAGGCTTATCATTGATGCTTATGTTAGTTATACCAATGTAGTTATTTTTGTCAAATTACTATAATTCAGTATTTTCAAATATCTTTGTGATAAAAAAAATAGAAAACCACTACATTTTTACAGACTCCTGTGAGAAAAGGAGTACCCAAGTAAATTGTCAAGTTCACTTATATATTTCACACATATAGATGGATGCATGCATGTGTGTGTAGAAATAATAGCGAAGTTAGTGTATGAGCCTAGCCTATAACATCCCCATAAATATGACATAATAATTCACACATTTTATATTTACATTATTTTTGCTCTTCAAAAGCTCAA